ATGCGCGCGAAGGTCATGCGGCACTCCCGTTCGGTAATTACGCGGCAACTTTATCTTGCGGACAATGATAATGTGATGGCTCGATAAAGATTTTCGGAGGTCAGCAATGAGTGGACGAATGTTACTGTCGGACGCGCGAAGGTCGTACGGCACTCCCGAAACGCGGCGGTCGACAACGCGCGGCAAACTCGCGATTATTAGTCATGCAAGAAAATCAGTAATAAAGGGGTACTCACTTCTGATAAATTTCCGGTCAATTATTGTTGTGATTATGGCCGTTAAGGCCGCTGTAGCGGCCGCTACTATGACTGTTTGCGTCGCCGTTATTTCTATTATGCTGCTAATCTAATACTATCTCCCTTCTTTCGTATTCACGTCTCTCACCTTTCGCCTCTATTTCTTCTTCTAACTCTCACTTTTCACTTCTATTTCCTTCTCTAATCCTCACCGTTCACGTCTATTTCTTCTTCTAATTCTCACCTCTCACTTCTATTTCCTTTTCTAATTCTCACTTTTCACGTCTATTTCTTCTTCACTTTATTCTATGAGTACTGCGCGTCAGCGAGGCTCGGCGGGTTTACACCGTCGAGGCTTAACGGTTACTGGCGCGCCGTTTTTCGGCGACGCGCCGCTTCTCCTAGTTTACTTCCCCTTCGTATTTGTTGATTGGCTAACTTGTTGCTAAGCCGGGTCTCAGCGCCGTCTATATTAATGTTTTTTACCCGCGCAATTTGTTTATTGGTCGGTCCTTCGCGCCTAATTTGCCTACTGGTCGCGAAGATAGCGTCGGTTTTTACTCATTAGTCTGACCACCCCTAAGCTGATAACGATTGGCCGGTCAACTAGCGTCGCTTGTCTATCCTCTTCTAGCTACCGCTCGTTGGTCTTACCGATTCCCCTCGCTCGCTTCCGATCGGTCTAGCATCGGCGGTCTCGCTCGCTCTCACGCGCTCGGCCACTCCTACTTCTAGTCTAGCTAGGCCTGCCTAACTAACGGGGGCTTGCGATCAGCTGATCGCGGCTGGAAACTTAAGGGGCTTCTAGCTCCCCGGGGGAGTGTCGGATCGGGTCGTGAGTGCGCGAGGGGTTGTACGCGAGCGTAAGGGTCGTGCGAATCGGTCAGGGGGACTTCCAGAGGTCATAGTTCGCGAGATCCGGGAGTGCGTGGGCGGGTGTATGCGGTCGTGGCTGTTCTGCCGCATCGTGCCGGTAGTGCATAATTTGTGTGTGATGACGCATCATCACATAGCCCCCCACTAATCCGGTGCATACACATGCACCGTGATTCGTCGGTCATCGCGGGTCTACTGGTGATCTGCTCATACCTGGTCCTCAGCTACTGATTTAGTGACCTGAAAAGATGGTTAGGGAGTGTCGGAGTAAGGTGAAATGAGTTGGACTTATTGCATGGTCAGTTTCGTTATTTATTGATCTTAATGGCTGTCTGAGTCGTTGTTGTTCGACCGTCGGTAACGGTGCTTGGTCCGTTCGAGTCGGCGTCGTTCCGCCGCTGCCAGGGACTCGACGGTTTCCCTCAGCCGCTCCAGCTCCTGAAGGCGGTCGTTTATTTCTTCCTCTCCTTCTTGGTGGCTCCTAGACCTACTGTGGTCACGACGGTGGTAGGGGCGTCCTTCCCTGGGTGTCCGGGGGATGGCGCCCGTTTCTGGTCCAGGTAGGTCCCTTGTTAACATCATGACCTCCTGGTAGGTCGGAGGGGGTGCCTGCACCTCGTGTGGAGGGTGGTAGCTCCAACTCGTTTGGGGTGCGTCGTGGTTTTGGCTCGTGTTGGTCGGTATTGTCCTAATTGATGGACTAGGAGTTTTCGCCCTTTCCAGCCGGTCCCAATATTCGGTGGAGCACCGGGGACAAACCTGGATGCTGGTACCCCTCCTGCCGCAGTTGCCGCAGTATTTCGATGTTTCCGCTGGCCTCGGGCACGTTCGAAAAGTGTGCCCGGGCAACCAGCAATTGAAACAGCTGCGGCCAGGTGGATCTACTGTAGGGTCGGTTGGAATAGGCCGAAGGTTCCCGAATCCGGCTCCTGTGTCCCTCGGTCGGTTCTCCCTATTGGTCCAAATACGGGGAGGCTGGGGGCGGACGGGAGGTCCTGGCTCGTCGTCGGATACCTGCTCTGGATTCACCGTACTCTCCAGGTCCTCGTATTGTAGATGCCGTCTGGGGTTGTATCTCCTACGGCGGCCGTTCTCCTCTCGGACCATTATCTGGTCTAGCGTAATCTCCATTGGTGGCGTCTGGGGGGTTCGTACCGTGAGCCATCCTGGATGTGGTCGGTTCTTTGGTGCTGGTTCCAATGTATCTTCCTCCGCCGTTACCATCTCGTCCAGGGTCTCATCGGTCGTGATAATTAACCCAGATCCACCCGAACTGGACGACCTGCTTGCTCTTCTAGGGTTTGCTTGAGTATCTTCTGCGGGCTTCCCACCCTGTTCTATTAGTCCGGCCAGGTGTATTATCTTCTGGTCGTCCCCGGTCTGTTCTTTTTGGGGGACCAGGATTGCCACCCTCTTAGCGGCCACTGTTAGCCGTTCCTGTAGTTCTGAGGGTGGTTGGTCTCCCTCAAGGCGGGCTTTTTCCCTCAAGATCTCCTCTTCGATCTCCATGATGTAGGAGGAGATCGAGAAGGAGGGCGACGGTGCTGCTGTTCTTTGGTCGTTAATGGTCTTGGTTTCCAGGTCGCTTTCTTCATCCGAGGAGATGGTGACGAGTTCGGGTCGGTTTGGTGGTCTGTCCTCAGTGGGTCTGAATCCCAGGTCCGGTCGGTGGTGTGGGGACCGTTGAGCGCGTGTCCCAAACTTGGGAGGCATCGTTGAGTCTGTAAATCGAAAAGGTTTTAATTTTCGGTCAATATACTTTCGGGGGAGGTCTGTTAGTGAAGGTCATCAGCCAGCACCAGTCGTGCGATGTTAGTCTGGTTAGTTAATTAGTTTGTTACGCGACCTACATCTCCCCCCCCCTTTTGTAAAACTAGAGAGGCTTGTCCTTTCTAGTTCTCGACTCAACATGATTTTCGGGGCGTGATCTTATTTGTTTAGGTTCTGTGGTCTTAGTTACGCGGTGGTCGTTCGATAACTAACTTAATATTGACCGGATTTTCATACTTTATAAGGTTTTAACTGGGTAACGTGAACTTTTCCTGTCTCTTTGCCGAACGTATTCTCGATAATGTACACGTTATCTGATAGCTGTTCCTTTATCTGGAATGGTCCCTCATATTTCCCGGCTAATTTTGCCGAGAAATAGTTGGTCGCACTGGATAGGTGATGAGCTTTTCTCCATACCAGGTCTCCTATTTTGTATCTTGTTGGTTTCCGACCTTTATTATAGCGGTCGGCCATCTGGCTGTGGGCTTGGTCCAGTCGATCTTGAATTGTTTCGCGAAGGTCGTCCAGTTTCTTCAGTCGGTTCGCCCATTCATTTGGGTTTGATGCCACTTTAATCTCGGTGGACTCCACCTTCCGGCGTAGGCTCTTGGGAGGCTTCGGTTGCCGTCCGAAATTTAAAAAGGCTGGTGATGCTCGCGTGGTCGACTGTACTGCCGTATTCATCGCATAGCGGAGCTCGTTTAGGTGTTGGTCCCAATCCTTATGGTTGTTGTCGACAAAGGTCGCTATCATGGTCTTCAGTGTACGGTTCGAGCTTTCGACTGGGTTGGCTTGCGGATGGTACGGCACGGTGGTGACATGCTTGATACCATACTCCTGTAGCATGGTATCTACGCATTTGTTGGCATATTCCTTGCCGTTGTCAGTTAACAGGTAATCCGGAGTCTCCCACCGAAGCAAAATCAACTCTTCGAAGGCTCGGGCGACATTCTTGCCGTTGGCTGTTCGTACCGGCTTCAGCTCTATCCAACGAGTGAACAGGTCTTGAAACACTAGTAGGTATTTATTCTGAGTCTTGCTCCTGGGGAATTCCATGGTGTCAACTGCCACTACGGCCCATGGTCGGTCGATATTCCGCCGGCCCATTAGGCCTTGAGGTCCTAGTTGGCTGGCTTTATACTTTTGACACTTTTCGCAACGGGTCACGTAGTTGTATACGCTTGAATACATCCCCCTCCAGTAGTAGTCGTGAGCAATCCTTAGATAGGTCTTTTCAACCCCTAAGTGGCCGGTCGTTGTCAAGCAGTGAGCGTCATACATTATTTGCTGTCTATATTCGTCCGGTACCACAAGCTTCCAGTTAGTTTCTCCGTCAGTGACCGGGTCGGTCGACTCATCCAGTCGGTGATAGTATAGCATGTTGTCCTCTATCTTCCAGTCCGGGAATTTTGCTGGGTTCTGATTAACATCCCATCGTCGTCGCAGGTACCAGGTGTCTTTGATCAGTTTGAAGGCTGATACGGCATCGGGTCCTGGCGACATTCGTGATAGGGCATCGGGCAGATTATGTAGGTTCCCTTTTCGGTGTTTCACAGTGATTGGCCATTGTTGTAGTTCCAGGATCCAACGGCCTAGGCGACCTTTTGGTTCTTTGTTGTTAAAGAGCCAGGTCAAGGCACTGTGGTCGGTCACTACGGTGAATTCATAGCCTTCTAGATATGGCCTCAGCTTATTTATCGCGTATATCACTGCCAAGCACTCCTTTTCCGTTACCGAATAATTACGCTCCGGTCCTGTCAGGGATCTGCCGATGTATACTATGGGATGTTCGCCGTCGTCGAATTCTTGACTCAGTACCCCTCCGATGGCGAAATCACTCGCGTCGGTCTGGACGGTGAAAGGTCGACTGAAGTCGAGACGGGCTAATACCGGAGCTTGCGTTAAGGCTTGTTTTAAGGTTTCAAAGGCCAGTTGCTGTTCCGGTCCCCAAGTATACACTTGGTTCTTCTTTGTTAGTTTCTGTAGCGGGACTTTAATTTCGGAACAATTTTTGATAAATCGGGAATACCATTCCACCATCCCTAAGAAGCTCTTCAACTGCATGACGGTGCGAGGTACTGGGAATTCCAGTACTGGTCTAGTACGGTCTGGATCTGGTCAGAGGCCGTCGTGGTCCAGTAGGAGTCCCAGGTAATTGAGGCGAGAGCATCCAAATTCACATTTCTTAGCGTTGATCTGTAGGCCAGCATCATTGAGTCGTCTGAGAACTAGTTCTAAGAAATGTAGATGGTCGTCAAAGCTCTCTGTTGCTATTATGATATCATCCAGGTACGGGAAAACATATGGTTCCCAGTCTGGTCCGAACAGGGCATCAGCCAATCGTTGAAACGTGGCTGGTGCGTTTACTAGTCCGAAGGGCATTACAACAAATTCCCACAACCCTTCACCAGGGCTCGCAAATGCTGTGTATTGGCAACTATCTTCTTCTAATGCAATCTGGAAATATGCTTATCGTAGGTCTATCTTGCTGATGTATCTTACATGCCTAAGTCGGTCTAATATCGAGTCCATATTTGGCAGTGGGTATGCGTCCTTGCGGGTCACCTTGTTCAGGTCTCTGTAGTCAATACAGAACCTCCAGGTCCCGTCAGGCTTGCGGATCATTACAGATGCGCTTCTCCAGGCACTTTTGGATGGCCTTATAATGCCTAAATCATACATTCTCTTAATCTCTTCTCGGACAATCTTCTGCATCGCTGGTGACATCCTACGCAGCCCTTGTCTTACCGGTTTAGAATCTCCTATGTCAATCAGATGTTTTACTACGGGTGTACGTCCTAGCTCGTCTGTCTCAGGCGGTGGCAGCCTTTCTATTACTTCATTCAGCTTTGCGGCCTGGGCGGTCGTCATTTCGATCAACCCCGCACATTCCGCAGAGAAGGTTACAATATCGTGGGGTTTGCGAGGCCTCAAGTAGTGCCATCGCCCCCCACGTACTCTCCATTTCTTGTCCTTGAATAGCAACACCATGTCCCATTCGGTCAAGAAATCTAGTCCAAGGATGATGGGTGGTCCGGTCAGGTTAGTCATAGCTTTGAAGTTGAACCTGGCCGTATGCCCATCGCAGCTCACTTGGAGTGGCAATTCTCCTTCAGTTCGCTCAATGACCCCGGTCACTCCTTGTACCTCACTGAAACGCGGTATAAGTCGGTCTCGGTACCGGGCTGTGATCGAGGGTCCGATGATAGATACTGACGCGCCTGAGTCTATCAGGGCGTCGTATACTACCTTACCGATAGCGATAGGAATAAACAGACGGTTGTCGCAGTGTGCGCTTTTAACCGAGAGGGTCCCTGGCGTATTTGTAGCCCCATACTGGTCAGTTTCGGACGCGTCTGGTCGATCGGTTAATCCGGCGTCGAATGACGTAGTCGTTCCTGAGCAGTCGGCCGGCCCGCATAGCTGGGTGTCCTCCTCCCTTTGCGGGTTCGCATTTGACTCCGAGTTATTTTTGCTGTCCTCGGAGTCAGCGAAGGTCACCGTCTTTACCTTGGTGCCAGTGTTCATCCCCCCTGGCTCCCAAGGTCCTATCGGTCCTTTCGGCGTCCGTCTCCCTGAGTTATCAAAGCTCTCCTCAGGGCCAACGGTCATTGCTTCCTGCTGCTTCGTATTCCTGGGGTCTGCATCCATCTGGCCTGACTCCCAGGAATTTGCTTCACTGTATTTCCCCCTGGGGCCTACACTAGTCTGGCCTGACTCCCAGGGGTACTTGCCTACGTTGCTCATCATCCCCGGCTCTGAGTTATTTGTGCTGTCCTCAGAGTCGGGGGAATCTTCTCGCTTCTGCATCGCTTTCCTGGGGCCTACTCTAATCTGGCCTGACCCACATTAGTCTTCTCTGTCGCATTTCCCCCTGGGGCCTACATCTATCTGGCCTGACACCCAGGGGTACTTGTTAGCTTCGCTCATCGGTTCCGACTCTGAGTTATTTTTGCTGTCCTCAGAGTCGGGTGATTCTTCTCTCTTCCGCATCTCTCTCCTGGGGCCTACACTAGTCTGGCCTGACCCACAGGAGTTTTCTTCATCACACTTCCCCCTGGGGCCTACATCCATCTGGCCTGACTCCCAGGGGTATTCATCATCGCACTTCCCCCTGGGGCCTACATCCATCTGGCCTGACTCCCAGGGGTACTTATTCGCATTGCTTGCTCGCTCTCTTACGGGTCGGTCGCCGGAAATCTGGTCGTTGCTGGGCTTAGGGTTCGATCTTTCCACGGCCCGGTCAGCAGAGTCCAGGTTTTCCAGTTTCCTCTTACTCAGGGGCGGGTACGTTGCGTTCTCCACCCTTGAGTCGGTCGGGATGCACTTGGTCGGAAGTTGCAGGATGAGGGTGTCCGGTGTCTCGAGCGTCCGCAGTAATTTGCTTAGAGGCTCGTCATCCGTCCAGAGAGGTCGGTCGATGGGCATGTCTGACTCCTCAGAGCTCGTCTGCAGGGTCAAGTAAGGCGTTTCGACTACGTCCTTGTCCATAGGCCCCAGCTCCGTAGTCGCTTTTCCTCGTCCAGTGCGCCAACTCTCTATTTTCTCATCCTCTTCTCTCCATTGTGCGTCCGTCTCGAAGCCCTTTATCGCAGATTGTCGATGACTCGGGGAAGTAGCGGGCTCGCCTGCTCCCCCGAAGCCTCGTTTCCCAGAAGCTCTGTACGACGATTACTGCAGTTTTTGCAGAAGTCAAAGGGGGCTCCTGGTAACTTGCATACTTGGCAGAACATTCCTCGTGCTTCTCGCGGTCTTTCTCTTGGAAATAGTGCAGCTCTTTTTGGACATTGTCCTGCCATATGTCCAGGCTCGTAGCAAAAGTAGCATTTCCGTCTCGGGCATTTTCGATAATCGTGGTCATCCGGGCACGCTCTACATTGGTCAGGCCTATACGGCTGACGGTCTGGCTGGGGCGGCTGAGGGCTAACAGGCGGTCGTAGGGGGAGAATCGAGGGTCGTAGTCATCGAGATTCATACCCTGGATCTAGCTGCGGGGGATTCGAGTTCGTCGGGCCGTTCGCAGGTGGAACGGTGACGGTCGGGGGTGTCGGTGGTAGCCCCAAATACTGGTGCGGGTTCATCGACGACATGACCTGGGCTAACATCGGTGCATCAGGAGGTTCCTTGGGTACCATGGTCGTTTTGACCTTCACGGGTTCCTTGGTCTTTGGCTTCCTGTCTGGCTTCGGTGTCAGGTCCGGTAAAGTCTCCTGGCTCCGGTCCGGTTCTGCCTTATCTGAATTTATCGAAGAAATCTTGGCCATTCTTTTGCTGGTCTTCGGAGCCGCTGCTGGGAAACGAGTCTTATTCGACGGAGGATGATATTGTTCATCCATCTCCTCTAGGTTCTCCCATTTTTGCCCATAGTAGGTTAGGTCGCTGAAATGTCGTATGGACTTATCAGCCATATACCTCCTATAAGCTGGTAGCAAGTTACGCTGGGCTATCTTGATCTGGGTCGAAGTGGAGAGTGGATGTTTAAAGAAGCTTGCGATATGTCGGAAAGCATCGAGGTAGTCGATGATGGTCTCCCCCGGGGCTTGTGATCGACGTCGCAGCTCCTCTTCAATGTCGTCATCGGTCAACCTGCGTCCGTAGTGGTCTCGCAGGGCTCGTTTCAGGTCCTTCCAACAGTGGATTTCTCTGGCCAGGCTACGATACCAGGATGCGACTTCTTTGGTGAACGTGGACGATATCACATGCAGTAAGTCGCTGCTGGTCATTCCGGTCCGGGCCTTAACTTCCTCAATCTGTCCGATAAACTCTTCCGGGCCGTCTGATCCGTTATATTTTATCTTCCTGCTTTCCAGTATCCTGATATTCCTCAAATCTCGTTTAGCTACATCATACTCCTCGTAATGCCTGTCTCGATGTGGGCGCCGTCGGTCCGAACTACTTTGGAGGTCGCTCGAGTATTCTGATTCGCTGGTCTCGGATGCGTAACGTTCAGGTTCACGCCAACGGTCGTGGTCACCCCTATGACGATGGTGTGACTGGGCCTTAGCGGGTTAGTGGCGGCGGGCTGGACTGTCTCGTTCACTACTGCTGTCTGATTCCGATGACGAATCCCTACTTCGATGGGAATGTCTCGAATGTCGGTCAGTTCTCTCGGGCCTACGTCTTCGACCGCAGCTCTCATGCCCTTGGCGTATTCGTGGCTTCGGTGAATCGTGGTCGCAGCAATGGGTCTTTCCATGTGATCGCACAGGGCTCGAGCTCACTTGCTTTGACCTAGACTTGCCAGAGCGGGTCGATTTTGTTGGCCGTCTGATAGTCCGATCAGGGGATCCGCAGTCAGTCGTATGTGATCGAGTACCGCGTTTGTCGCTACGTCGGTCCGGACTCGGATGTTTGGTGTGACTATGTTTGTACTGTTTCGAAGGGGGTCTACGCGGGGACGTCCTCCTATCGCTCTCACTCGCTGTATCATCTGATGGCAAGGCAGCCATACAAGTAGAAGTCCTGGTCTGGCGGTGCGAACTGACGAGCCGATCTTCACTAGGACGCAGCTGTCTACTGCATGGTGTCCTGGATTTCTCTTGCCCATATCCGGTCAGGTTACCCTTACGGCAGGTTTCTGGTTCAGCTGACAGGTCCATTCGGTCCTCTTCTGTCAACTGAAGCAAAGATCGGTTCAAGTCCGCCCTCCTAAGAGACTCTTCGCCTCGGCCGGTCCCTCGGCTCTCCCTGATGGCTGGCTCGTCGGTATCGGTCCCTCGATCTACCCTACTTGATTCAGCAACACCTCTCTTCGTTCTTGTAACTCGGCGAATGGTTCCGGTGCGTTCCGAAAGCTCCAGATGTATCTCAGGTTGGTCGGCTGCCCCATGCGGCGGTATCTTTCGGATATTCTTGCCCTTCTTGGCCGGCTGTTCTATGACAGCGTCGACTTTCTTGTGATTGCGCGCTCCACTGATCGCTGAGGCTTGTTGGGTCCGTTTGGACCGCCGTAATCTTCCTGTCGGATCGGCTGTGTCATCCTCTGAGGTGCTCGGATCAACTAGGTCGGACGGGTCAGCTTGACTTGGTACTTTAGAAAGCGGGCGGACTTTAGACGGCTTCACTCCTGATCTGGCGTTCTGGTCGTGGTCGCTTTCTTCGATAGCCTTAGCAACTTTGGATTTTGGGCGATTTCGTCCCTCCGCTGCTGTGGATTCCGATTGATGCGTTTGAGCATCACTACTGGTCTCCACAGGACGCCATAATACGGTGCAGTACGCTGGAAAGGTGCTAAGGTGTAGGGATCCTTTGATTCGTTGATCCGGCTTTACTCGCTCCTCCCGCAGACGGTATCGCAGGTACTCCAGGCGGTCAACGTCAGGTAATCCAGTAATAGGGAGTCCAAGTCGCTCCATTTCCCCATGTACCTCGTCAAGCGTCATCTCCTTAATCGTCACGGCTATTTCTCGTCCAGCATGTGATTTCTTAAGGGTGTCCCACATCCTCAGGTTGTCCCATGGCTGGTCCTCGGATCCTTCAAAGGTGTCCATATCCTCGGTCCTGGTGGTCAGTACTCCTGTACTTGCGTTGGATGCCATGCTGCGCCAAACAGCTAGTGCGTTAAGCACTGTGGTTTCCTGGTTTAATACTCGGTTTAATCTAGTTATCACTGAAGGGGTTAAGTCCAGTTGAGGTCTATCACTGAGTTCTACGGTCGCGAGGTCATTCGGTTCCCGAAGGTCAGGCTTATCCTTACTGGCCAGTTCGACTGGTCAAGCTTGGTCTCACTCCACGTTCGGAGTCAAGTCCAATCGGGATTTGCTACCCGGGACAGAAAGTCGCGAGGTCGTACGAATCCAGCGGTCAAACCCCTAATCAACGACCTATCCAAGGTCGGTCAATAACTGGTTTCGAGCCCTTAGCTAAACAAAAGGTCTAGCCGGATACTCTCGCAGGTCTACCACAGAAGATCTTCCCAACGCAAACGCAGGAGGTATAAAGGTCCCAGGTCAGGCCCAACAATCGCGATCTCCTTAAAATTTACCCGGACAACTTCTAACTATTATTCTCGGTCAGCCCACACATAGGTTAGTGAGTTATAATTAGCAGCATAAATTTATACATATATTCACATATAATCACATATTCACATATACATCGCATATAATTAAATGTAATCGCCAAATTCATCAAATCATTCGCTTCTCGTTATCGCCTTATTCACGGTCGCAGTACGCCACTTGGTCGGATCGGGGGCGGGGGTGTTGCCCTAGCCACTAATCGTCGACTAACTTGATGGCGTGGGCCCCACGTTGGGCGCCATTTGCGACGGGGGAGCGGGAGGGGAAAAATAACAGACGGGTATTCTTCCGGTCTCGCACTGTCGCCAGCGGCGCGCAGTCAGCCGAGACAACGTGTGCAGCTTTTATTTGATATTTGTTGGGCGCCAGCTACCGCGCTCTCGCGTTAGGAGAGCGGGTAGCGCTGCAACGTTGGCTGGTTCTCGGCTCGGTGGTCCTGCTGCTCGCTGTGAGGTCGGGTGGTTTCCCCGTTGCCTCCCTCCTCGTCGCCGTTGATGTTCTTGCGCGCGTGGCCGGCTATCACCTGTGAAGAATGAAGCGGGAGCGCGAAGTCCTAGGCGACGATTCGTTCGAATCTAGATCGTATCGAGCGAAAGGGGAAAGAAGGGGGGCAACGGGTGGTTTACAAGGCCACCCACGGCTGCGGCTCGTTCGGCTAGCTAGAAGATTCGGGGCATGGCAGCTATTAACCCAGAAGCGGGTACATCGAGGGGGGCGTCGCAGGGGCGCCCCGGTTGACGGGCTAGTGGTTCAGGGGGGATAGCTCCTTCCCTGGACTGGTGGCGTAGT